ACAGTGGTTGTACTAGTTTATATTCCTACCAACAGTGGAATGGTTTCTTTTTTCCTACAGCCTCACCAGGTTTTGTTATTATTTGATTTCCTGATGATGATCATTCTTTCTGGAATAAAGTAGAATCTGAGTATTGTTTTAATTTGCACTTCTGTAATGGTCAGAGATGTTGATCAGTTTTTCATATATTTATTGTCAGTCTGGACTTCTTCTGAGACGTGTTTGTTCATTTCAGTTGCCCATTTTTTGATTGCATCTTTTTTTTTTTTTTTTTGAGATAGAGTCTCATTATACAGTTCAGGCTGATGCTCACTTTGTAGCCCAGGCCAGTCTCAAACTTGCAACAATTTTCCTGCCTCAGCCTCGAGTGCTGTGGGTCTTTTATTTTGGGGGAGTCTAATTTTTTTGAGTTCTTTATATATTCTAGATATTAGTCTTTTGTCCAACGTGCAGATGGCAAAATTTTTTTCCCCAAGCTGTAGTTTGTCTTCTCTCTGTTGGTTGTTTCCTTTGCTATGCAGGAGCTTTACAATTTGATATGACTCCATTTGTCAATTCTTGATGCTGTTTCTTGTCCCATTGGGGTTCTGTGCGGAAAGTCACTGGCTATGCCTATGTCTTCAATAGTTTTACCTATGTGATCCTCCAGCAGATTAACTTGTATCACTGTTAAAACATTTCTGTTTTATTTTATTTTTTTTGTACTGGGACTTGAACTCAGGACGCTGCGCTTGCCAGGTAGGTGCTTGTGCCACTGAGCTATATCCCCGGCCCAACATTTCTATTTTAACATTGAGATCTTTAGGGGCTGGGGATTTAGCTCAGCGGCAAAAGCGCCTGACTGGCAAGTGCAAGGTCGTGAGTTCGGTTCGTGGTACCGGAGAAAAACCAAAACCAAAAAAAAAAAAAAAACAAAAAAACATTGAGATCTTTGATCCATTTTCATTTTAGTTTAGGACATGGTAAAAGATATGGGCTTAGGTTCAATCTTCTGCTTGTGGACAGCCAGTTTTCCCAGCACCATTGTTAAAGAGACTACCTTTCTTCCTGTGTATTTTTTAAAATTACACTTCTATTTCTCCTTAGTAGGGCATTTTTCTTTTGCTCTCTAATGTCTTTGAGCACATGTCCTTGTGTAGCATTTTAGTAGTCACTCTAGATACGCATCACAGTCTACTGAAACCATCATTTCACCAAGTTTCCCATCTGACTAGCTGCCTCTTTCTTGGTTCTTTGGCTGCAGAGAAGAGGCCTTTGGCGTGTTTTTTTTTGTTTTGTTTTGTTTTTCCATTTGTATGCATTGACTTTCCATGCATGTTTAACTGCTTCTTTATCTCTAAGTCTGAGATATGGGGGCATGGGGCTCACTACCATGTATATCTCAGTGCCTGAGGTCCCTCGCTGCTTTGCGTTTTTGTCTCTGGCTTTCAAAGTCTTTCTATGTTTATTTTATATAATGTCCAGGTTTTTAGTTGTATTTGTATTGTTTTGTTGTTGTTTTAAGTTTCTTTGTTTACCCGGGGTGTTTTTGTGGTATTCAGGATTGAACCCAGGGCCCTCACGCTAAGCTACACACCCAGCCTTTTTTATTTTTTATTTTGAAACAAAGTCTAGTTAAGTTGCTAAATTGCTTAAGAAGGGCTCAAATTTGTGATCCTCCTGCTTCAACCTCCCAGAGTGCTGAAATTATAGGAGTGATCTCCCACGCCTGTCTCCCAGTTTTATTTTAGACCTAACATAGAATTAAGATAAATTTTCTTTTTCTTTGCTATTCTGAATATACCTAAAAGGCAAGATCAAAATATATGGTAAATGTTTAAAAGATTTTTTAAAAATTTGTTACAGTAAAAGACATATATTGTCACTAAACCCCCCACTTCACACACACACACACACACACACACACACACACACACACACATCCCATTGTTCATGCCACTTCCTAAAGCAGTTCTGGAAGGTTTTCATGACTGTCTTTATGAAATGTGATCAAAAATACAGTGAGTGCCACTGCTGAGTGCCAGCAGAAAGGCAGGCTCACAAACACATTACATGTGGCTTCATCCACCTTAGTCACCAGATCTGGCACCATGTGACTTTTGGCTTTTCCCCCAAAGTCAAAATGACCGTGAAAGGTAACTGTTTCGAATTGATTAGGACATTGACGCAGCCAAAACAGTCCCACTAAAGACACTTACAAAAGAGAACCTCCAGAACTGCTTCCGAAGTGGCAAGAACAACGGGACAAGTGTGTCTGAAGCAAGGGGGAGTATTTTTGAGGAAGATTCATGGCAATGTGTGTTTCACTGTTAGCGGGTTAAGAACCCTTAGTTATTGCAGGCTGATCAGGCCTGCAGTCTCCCAAATGAGTGGACAGTGAAGGCTAAAATAAATGAGACAACTGAAATGATTTTAGGGCTCCACGAGGGTCCAACTCTCTTACAGAATTTGAGATTCTGTGGGTTAAGACAAAGGTTTCTCTGGGAAGCCCGTACTTACCAGGTTTTCAAACAAAAGAGGAGTGTACTCAAGAAAATACGGGAATCTAGCAGGACCTTGGGAAATATTTTCCCAAGTAGTAAATTATGTCAATCAGGAGAACTACCTTATCTTTAGGCTGGCATTTATTGTAGGAGTGTGGAGCCTGCAGCTGCAGTCTCCTTTTAATTGGGGTCAGGGCCAAATGTTCTCAGCTCTGGCCTTATCTTGTCCTTTGAAGCGTCACTACTTCATAGGCCCCTGCAGGCCTCAGTGGTGACCAGTGACTCACAGGTTCACTCACCGTGAGTCCACTGTCTGTCTCCAGACAAGGTGCCTAAGCTTTGGACAGCTCACAAGTAAACATGGAAAGCCAATTGGTTAATATTAAATTCTACGCAGAGCCACTTCATAGTGGTCTCTATCATACCATAATAATTTATTTTTTCTTTGGTACCGGGAATTGAACTTAGGACCTTGCACTTGTGAGGCAAGTGCTTGTGCCTCTGAGCTATATCCCCGGCCCTGTAATAATTTTTTAAAACTTAAACATTTACCATAGTTTTTGAGCATACCTCATATGACTGTGCCCCAGCCCACTAGATCTCACTTTGGAATTTAGAGGAAGTGAGCTTTTTATAGCTGGACTGTCACAGGGTTTCTGCCCACTCATCTGTCTTTCCTGTCTTTTATTTATTTTCCTGTTTGGGGAGAGCTGCTGTTAATAGAGACTTCTCAGCCACAAGATGGTGCCCCAGAGTAGTTAACTAAGATTTTTCTGCTTTTTCTTGAGTACTCCCCCTTCACTTATTATTAGTAAACTCAGGGCTGTTTATCTGAGCCGCAGTGTAGCTACAAAGTTATGCTTTTCTTTAAACTGTGTCTTGCTAGCTGCATGGAAACTTAGCTAACCAGTATCAAAAAAAGCATTTTTGCTTGAACGTCTTGTGTCTTGATAATAACTATGAGAATTCATGTGGAAACTTTAAAACTCATTGGCACCCTAATTAATTAATAAGTCCAGTTGCCATTTTATATCTGGGCTCATTGAAAATAATCTGTAGTCTTAGCATAGCTTTAAAAAAGGAATAAGCAGGGTCCAAGGCAGTGGCACACACCCAGGTACTTGGGAAGCTGAGGCAGGAGGAGGACTAGTTCAAAGCCAGCCTGGGCAACTTAGTGAGACCCCTATTTAAAAAAAAAAAAAAAAAAAAAGAGTAAGTATATTCTAAAACAACGCATTATTGTTGCAGTTTGAGGTATCTGATCCATGAATCATACTTTCTTAGTATAAATGTTCTTGATTACTAGCCCAATTTTTTAAATAATAGATTATAGTAGTATATAAAATGTATAAAATAAAAAGACTAATAAGTATAAATGAGACTAACACGTACTAACATTCTTTTGGTAGTAAGCTATGAGTAGGATTTTCCTTTATCTTCTAGTCTATATTTTTCATGTTTTTTCTGTTGGTTTGGTTTGGATTTTTTTTGAGACACAGTCTTGCTGGCCTTGAAGCTGGCCTTGAACTCACTGAGTAGCCCATGCCAGCCTCAAACTCATGGTAACCCTCCTGCCTCAGCTTCCTGAATGTTGGATTATAAATATGTGCTACCACACCCAGAATATGTCTAATATGTTAATGTGAGCTGGTCTTTTATGGCTAAAAATAGATATTGGGCATATTCTTCAGTTGATAAGAAAATGTTTATTAACCATTTTCAGGACTGTGTATGTATTTTCCTAGCTTTGATAGTTGAGTGGGAAAAATATTAGGCATTCTCTTGCTCAAGCAAGACTATGTCTTTAAATTTTTGTGTTACTTTTATAATAACTCGCACAGGTCTTCCACATAGACAGGACTGGGAAATACCTGTTGAAGGAACACAGAAGCCATAATTCCTAGCTTTGAGAGAAACAACTATCATTTTACCACTTACAAAGCTTTGGGTTTGGGGTTGCCACACTGGTCTTTATTCTTCTCTGCATGAGTTAATGCTGGCTCACATTTATTGAGACAGTTATGTCCAATCTATCTTAATTTAGAACTAATAATTAGGGATAGTAAAGCCAGCTACTCCTTTCTAAAATAAGATTAGTAATTCAGCAGGGTAGACAAAAAGCCAATCTAAATATATAGAGTGTATAAATGCACAGAAGTGGATCTACCTGGGTTGGAACTGTGTTGGGAGTACATAGGAATAAAATCCTACCCATCTCGAAGCTCCTTACCTCTATCCCAGTGGATTCTAGGGAACTCGGTTTAAAAACAACTGACCTTATCTCTGTTTAGAAACCCAGCCCTGGATCTAATGTGACCTGACCAGTAGACAGGTGTTCAGCATTAATTTGTAATAGGAAAACATTTTCTTCAAGCTTTCAAAGATGGAAATTTATTAAAGACTGTTTTACCCCCTACCAGATAAGAGAGCCTCGCCGCTGAAGTGGCCAGTTAGAAGAAGCACTCCACTGGAGATTTTTCCCTTGACCCTTTTTGGTGCTGGCTTTGTGTTTTTTAGCTCTTGGAAGTAGTGTCTCTACTGGCCAAGCAGAATCTACAACTGCTGGTGCTGGGCCGAAAGCACATGCTAAAACAAAGTTCCCGATGGAGAAAGGATGAGATGGAAAAGGTGCAAAAGCAAGCCTACTGCTTTTTTGCTGATGATATGTAAGTATTGGAGGTAACAGCTCGATTACACTAGGATCCAGTCGTCAGCTTGTTCATCACCTACTTTTGCTCTTTTAAAAAATGCATGTAATAAGTCAGGTATCATGGTGCATACCAGTAATCCTAGCACTCTGGGAGGCTGAGGCAGGAAGATGGCAAGTTTGAGGATCATAAGTTTGAGGCTAGCCTGAACAACTTGGTAAGACCCTATGTCAAATAAAAACTCAAGGGAGTGGCAAGGTAGAGCGCTGGGGATGTAGCTCAATGCAAAGGCCCTGGGTTCATTCACCAGTACCACAAAAACAAAGTATATATATATATATATGGACTCAGTCTCATTAAAAAACATAATAATAATTGAGGCACCTTACCAAAATATAGTTTCTACGGTAGAATAAATTTAAATCAGATTAAAGGAGAAATAGGGAAAGATAAGTCAGAGTGAGATTATTACACAGAATGTGTACCATGAAGTTCTAAGTCAGTCCTTTACCAAATACTCAACAAGTACGAGCACCTTCTCTGTTCTTGGTGAATAACGGTGAACAAGGCTAAGTGTCTGCATCCTAGGACGAGCAGTAAGCAGGTGACAGATAAACAGCAGTGTCGTTCGGGCAGTGCGTGTTAGTGCGGTGAGAAGGCAAAGCCGACAGGAAGGGCTCGGGTCGGGGCAGGCAGAGGGTGGTGCTGGAGTGGTGGGGATGGACTTCCCGAGGGGCTCATCTGCCAGGAGGGAGCAGTTGCTGGGGAGAGGGACGCGTGGAGGGGAGAACATCCCCGCAGAGGGAGCCGCGCGTGGCGCCAAAGCCCCGGCAGGAGCGCGCTTGGTATTTAGGAGGAAAGTCCACGGGCAGTGTGGATGGAACAACTGCAACAAGGGAAGTAAAAATTTTTGAGATCACAGAGGAGGCAGGGGCCACTCTACAGAAGGCCTCAGAGGTGCTGGGATATAAGCAAGAGGCCTGGATGCTATTCTTATATAAAGAGAAAATCAGTAGTGAGCTGCGGCTTCCCAGGAAGCCAAAGAAACAGGGAAGTCCTGGTCGGTAACAAAATGTGCAGGATCCGTAAAGTAAGAAGAAAGCAGCACACGAGGAGACGTACAGATCTGCAGTAGTGTAGCTGAGCCTTTAATGTGCATTTGTTCTCATACTCGGATGCTGACAAGTTTATGTCAGAGGTGCACGGATAACGAGTAACCGCTAAGCCTGGGTTTCATTAGGTCAGATGTGCTGTCACTTCAGATTTTGTCATTATTTCCTGAGCATTTATTCTTAAAAAGATGGAATGGCTCTCTAAATGAAGCAGGAGGCGGAGGCCACTTGCTCATTCTGGTTCCAAACTAAATCCCTCTTTTCTTTCGCCGGGAGGAGGCGCTCTGTCCTCCAAAAGTGACAGCTGCATGCGGTCCCTTTAGGCAGCACTGGTAGATAATAAGAGCACAGGCGTGGTTCAGACCACAGCCCTACCCCTTCTCCTATGGGAAGGGCACTTTCCTGTTCTGTCTTCCTTTTTTCCTGTCTGAGCTTCAGACCTGTAATCCCAGCACTCCGGAGGCTGAAGCAGAATAATCATAAATTCAAGCCCAGCCTGGACAATTTAAGACTTAGCAAGAGCTGGGAGTGGTGGCGCATGCCTATAATCCCAGCACTCGGGAGGCTGAGGCAAGAGGATCGTTGTGAGTTTGAGACCAGTTTGGGCTACAAAGTGAGCTCAAGGCCAGCCTGAGTTGCATAGTGAGACCCTGTCTCAAACAAACAAACAAACAAACAAACAAAAAGACTTAGCAAGAACTCGTCTCAAATTAAAGATTGTCACGGTGTGAAAGCCCTGGCTTCAATCTCCAATGCTGGGAGATACATATATATGTGTGTGCCATCTCTATGGAGTTATTGTGAAGGTTAAAGGAGGTAATGCTTAGTGCCTAAAAAACCCTTAGCACAATACCAAGCACATAAAAAGCATATATGTTAGTCGCTATCATCATTATTTTTCTTAAATGTAAAAGAATTGGATAAATTCAGTGTTATAATTGTAAGAAACCTGTTGGAAATTGGTCTCCATACTTACTTTGGGGCCTGTAGTTACCACATCAGCTAAAGTTCCTCTGTGTTGTAAAGACTGACCCACTGACATTATCTGTCTCTGGATTTGCATATTTAAATGTTTGACAGTAACTGTTTTCTACTAATGGACCAAAGAAGCCTCTTTAAATACTGAGTGTTATGAATCCTCATGTAATTTTTACCCAGCTTTAGCAATTTTGCTTATCTTGCTCCATATAATTCTCCAAATTTTCTGCAGTTTCTTTTCCTGGAGATTTTTTAGGCTATTTCCCATCATTTTATCATTTCATTTGAAACATTTCAATATAAGGTGAATTCTGTGTGTGTGTACTGGGGATTGAACCCAGGGCCTTCACACTGATCTATATCCCAGCTCCTCTCCTTCCCTCCTCTCCCCCTCTTCTCTTGCCTTTTCCTTTCTTGCCTTTCCTTTCCTTTCTTTTTTATCCTCTCTCTTTTTTCTTTCCTTCTTTCTTTCTTCTAAGTTGCCCAGGCTGAGCTTGAACTTGGAAATTTCCTGCCTCAGCTTCTCAGAGTGCTTGGATTACAGGTGTGCATCGCTGTGCCCTGCTTAAGGTGAACTTTAAGTGGTCCTGACTGGATCATTTGAATTGGGACATAAGGCTGCAGTGTGACTCCCCTCAGCCAAGGCAATTATTGCTGCTTTTGGAGCACACGCATGCAGTGGTGAGTCCTAAGGCTCAGGGACTGTTGGAGCCTCTGAGTCACTGTCTCTTCTCAGAGCAGGAGATAACTCACAGGGACTGGCCCCACTGCATGACCTCAAGCTGCTTTGAAATAGCAGTTTCAGCCATTTATTTGGTGGCTTGCAAAAAGAAAGTGTCATACTGCCCTAGTAGTATTCTGCAGTAGGTAAAGAAAATAGGTAAATCATCCACAAAGAACCAACTTCAGAGTGTGAAAAGAGAATGGTTGGGATTCTCTGTTCTCCTGTCCTGGGCACTAGCATTCCCCTCTCCTTGGCTCCGCCTGGGTTCTACATAGTGCCCCCCACCAGCCCCAGACTTCCAGGTGGTTTATAATCATCTCTGAGATCATACGAGTCAAGAATTCACACGCATCTCCAACAAAAGAAAGAAAATAAGTAAAAAGTAAAAAGCACAGTGACCCAGTCTACCTTCCGCCTCCTGGGATGTGTGTGATTGTGTCCTCTCTCCTCCCCGGTTCAGCTCAGAGGATGACCCGTTCCTTTTGTATGCCACAATGAACTCGGGGAACCACTGTAGGTTTATCACGAATGACCTGATGCGAGACCACAAGGCCTGTCTGCCCGACGCCAAGACCCAGCGCCTGTTCTTTAAGTGGCAGCGGGGACATCAGCTGGCAATTAAGAGTGTGTTTCCAGGATCACATATAATCTTTCAGGTATGGATTCTATTCTCTATGTGATGTTAACAGAGAGATAGTAAGAATGTCATGCTCTTTTGTTTTGTTTTTTTGTCTTATTGAGGCGGTCTTGCTATGCAGTTCGGGCTGGCCTTGAGCTCACTTTGTAGCCCAGGCTGGTCTCGAACTCCCAAAGATCCTGCCACCTCAGCCTCCCAAGTGCTGGGATTACAGGTGTGCACCACCATGCCCAGCTAGAATGTCGTATTGTTTAACAAAAATGTGATGCTCCATTTTTCTGTTTTAGTTTGGTATTTGGCATTAGCCAATTCCTAAAAACAGTGTGTCTATCACAGCAAAACTTTTCATGGGCAAAGCCCAAATTACTTGACATTTTGAAAGGTCTTGGATAGCATCAGTCTGTGACTGCAGTCCTGTCACCAGTTACAACTTCTCCTATGTGTTCATTTTCCTACTTAGAGTAGCTCATAACTCCTCACTCCAGTGGTTTGTTAAAATCATTAAGAGGGCTGGGGATGTAGCTCAGTGGCAAGGCGCCTGCCTGGTAAGTGCAGGGTCTTGAGTTAGATTCCCAGTACCCCAAAAAAGGGGGAAAGATCATTAAGAAACTCATTTTCCTGTTGATTCCACTTCTTTGGTAGTCTCAGTGGCATTCTCCTTTGCTTCTAGGTTAGATGCCTATAGCACAGAGATACCTCTTGTGTGAAAGCATAGGGAAAAAGTGATTGCAGAGAAATACACTGGCCTGTGGTGAAGTATGGTCTGGTGGTCAGAAAATATACAGGAGGTGTGGAGAGGAGGAGATGTTGGTCAAAGCACAGTTTCACCCAGACATGAATAAGCCTTGCACATGCTCTGCAGTGATTCCTCATCCAGGAATTACTACTTCACGTGTGTAATGGTGATGTTGCGCTTACATTTACAAAGTAAACCTTTTATTGTCTCGTGTTACTCACTGAAGTAATGCAAAAGAAACGATGCATGGGGTTTGCTTAAAATAATCACCGATGGAAAGCCGGGGCAAGGAAGGGGGGAAGTGCTGCTGGCGTAAGGCTGCCGTGAATTGGGAATGAGTGAAACTGGGGGACGAGCACGTGGGAGTTCATTATAGTATTTCTCTACTTTAGTATATTTGAAATTTTCTCTTTCACACATAGAAAACCAATAAAGGTAACAAGAGAATTCTGTAACTTATAAATGTAATGTTCCTACAGAGGGTACTTAACCTTGAAAATGAACCTGCCCAGAAAGGAGGTTCTAATACTCATCTTCTGATAGCATCTTTTTTGTTTTTTTGTCTTTCTGAGACAGGGTCTCGCTACACAGTTCAGGCTGGCCTTCAGCTCACTTTGTAGCCCAGGCTGGTCTCGAACTTGCAATGGTCCTCCTGCCGCAACCTCCAGAGTGCTGGGATTACAGGCGTGGGCCACCATGCCCAGCTAATATCTCCACAGAGTTAGGTGCTCTTTGAAAATCTCATGTTAGCCAGGCATGGTGATGCATGCAAGTTCAAGGCCAGCCTGGGCTACATAGTGAATTCAAGGCCAGTCTGAGTTACACAGTACATAGTGAGACCCTGTCTCAAAAAACAAATAAAAAAAAGTAAAAAAAAAAAAAAAAAAAAAGGCTGGAGGTGGAGCCTACTCCAAAGCCCTGCGTTAAAACGCCAGTATTGTTTTGCTGTTGTTTGTTTTTTGCTACCAGGAATCAAACTCAGGACCTTGTGCTTTCCAGGCGCCAGTCCTGGTTTTTGTTTTTGTTTTTGTTTTGTTTTGAGATAAGCATGTTGCTATGTAGTACAGGCTGGCCCAGCTCCAGTACTGTTAAATAAAAAATTAAATGAAACTCCAGTGTTAAGACAGGGAAAAGGAAGAGAAGAAGGGTTGAATGAAGGGGAGGGGAATGGGAAAAAACGAGGAACTGAGATACTTCATGTATGCGTACAAATTCCCTGTGATAAATGTGATCATTGTGTATATCTACATTGTACCAGTAAACTTGCTTTTTAAAAAAAAATAAGGTAGAAAATATTCTTCCAAAGCAAGCTGAGAAGTTGTGTGAAAAGAAAGAAACTAGCCAGGTGACAGTGACCCCTAACAGTTCTTCTCACCGTTTGGCTCTCTCCTCACCGACAGCATACTGTGGACTATGACACCGTCGTGCAGACCACTGGAGACTCATGGCACATCCCATATGATGAAGCCCTGGTGGAAAGATGCTCCTATGAAGTGCCGACCAAATGGCTGTGCCTCCACCGGAGGACGTGAGGACCTCTCCTCCCCACACTGCATCTGTGTTTGCGTGCTCCCCTGGCTGCGCTCGGAGCTCTGAAGTCCGTGCTTGTTTGGGTGTTTCCTCTGCCCTCAAGACCAAATTTTATTAGCTGGCTGGTTTATGTGAACAGGTCTATCCCCAGCCACATTTCCCCCTGACCTTTGTGTTGAGAGGCTCATCTGGAAAGGGAGCAGTTAGCGCACGGGAAGCCTGCGTTTCTCCTAAAGCTTCGTTGCTTCCCTTAGCTCAGGTGCCTCTGGTATCCATTTTGCTGCTTCAGACGTCACCTTCTAGCCCCACCAGCTGGGTCTTCTTCATTGTAGAATTCAAATTATAAACGCTTTTCCAAATTGCATCAACATTTTGTGAACTTTCTATTTTTAAGAGTTGAAGTCTCACTACATTGCCCAAGCTGGCCCTGACCTCTTAGGCTCAAGTGATCCTCCTGCCTCAGCTTCCCAAATAACTAGGACTACTGTCATGCACCACAGCACCCAGCTTTGAACAGTATTAATTGTATCACTTGCCATGAGGAATTTCTAAAGTATACAGATTTTTTCATTTAACCAGTTTTAACATGATTAAATTTTAATAATTGCCTCTCAGTTGTAGGCTCTTGCTAGCCAGCTCATGTCACTAACCCTAGCTTTCAACTAAAAATGTTTCTGTCTGCCCTCTGTGACACTTCCTTAAATCATACATAGGGTATGATTTAATATTCAAGAACAGGCAAAACTAGGGCTGAGGATGTAGCTCAGCAGTAGAGCACTCACCTAGAATGTTCAAGGCCCTAGGTTTAATCCCCAGTACTGCAAATGCAGACAAGCACCAGACGGTATGGTGATAAAGATCAGAATGGTAGCTGCCTGAGGAAAGGGACACAGAGAACTTGCTGCAGGTGGTAGAAAGTTCTGTACACTGAAGTGTGTGATGATAGCATAGGTACATGTATACATTAATCAGAATTCATCACACTGAACTGGATATGGTAATACAAGCACGTATGGTGCATACGTGTAATACAAGCTACTCAGAGGCTGAGACAGGAGGATTGCATGTTCAAAAAAGACCCTGTCTCAAAAGGAAAAACAGGAAAGGGACTGGGAATGTAGCTTAGTAGTTGAATACTTGCCTAGCAAGTGCAGGAAAAAAACTTAATTACACTGAACATTTAAAATCAGAGCATTTATATGGATGTAGATGTAGATATTGACATAGATATAGCCAACACTCTCAGAGGCTGAGGCAGGAGGATGACCCAGCATGGGCAATTTAGTCACTTAGCTCAAAATTTTTAAGGGCTGGGGAGGTAGCTCAATGTGAAGGTCCTGGTTTCCATTCACAGTGCCATAAAATAATAATGACATTGATAAGGTGGGGCTGAGGATGTAAGGACCTGGATTCAATATTCAGTACTACCGTAAAACAAACACAGTAGAACCTGCTCTAGATTGATAGAATTTGTCGAGTCATGAACAACAATGAAGGCTTTGAAAGGGCACTGACTCTGCCACTTCAGACTGAGAAGGGGGTTTACTTAGAAAGGGGATCTTCTGTAGAAATACCTAAAAGTATTCTTAAAGTACTTTGTTCTTCCCTCTGGTGTTCTGAATTTATCCTATCTGTTCCTCTTGCTCTTCACAGACCCAATAAAGAGAAAATCTTATGGGAAAAGCCAGAATTGGTTCTCTCAGGGCTGCACTGGAACTACCTCATCTGAAGAGCCTTATTCTGTATACTGTTTTTCTTTTCAAATTTACACTTTTATATAATTATTGCTTCCTTGGCCCAGCTCCAATAGGTTTTTCACTTATTTTAACTGTCCTTGGGTACTGTAAAAGTATCACAAGTGTTCACATCAGTTCTCTTCTTTTCTGATACCTTCACACTTCACTTTTTTTGAGATAAATTTTTGCTGTGTTTTTCAGGCTGATCTTGAACTCCTTGGGCTTAAGAGAGTCTTCTGCCTCAGCCTCTAGAGTAGCTGAGACTAAAGGCCCACCGCTGTACACAGCCCCTAGGTAAATTCTAAGGGGTTTTTTGTGTTCTGTTTTGTTTTGAGGCAGGGTCTCACTATGTAGCCTAGGCTGGCCTCAAACTCATGGTGACGCTCATGCTCAGCCTCCTGAGTGCTAAGATGACAGGCATGTGCTGTGATGCCCGGCTCATTCTAAAGTTTAGTTTCATCGAAAGAGTGTATGATATAAGAACCTAAATTCTGATCCACCATAAGGCATCTTTATGTGCTAATCAAATCATGTGCTAATCAAATGTTTAAAAAAATGAAAATCACAGTTGAGGAGAAACTAAATGAAGCGCACACATGGTATCATCCATCCATCAGTTCAGAATTCGTAGACTCAAAAGAATCTAAGGGAGTTTTTGTGGGGATGACTGGCAGTATGGGAAAATAGACCACTGACTGAATAGTGGTATTCAGAACTGACCATTGTTTCCAGACTGAGATATAAGCTGACAGAATTCCAGCTGAGAGACTAGGCAGCTCCTGGAGCCTACAGGGAGGGAGCAAGTTGGCCAAATAACATGGAGGACTCCCAGTAAAATTTGGATTAATTTTTAGAAGTATGTCCCGATTACTGCAGGGATGTACTTCTACACTGTTGACCTGAAACTCGCATTTAACAGACATCCTGTATTTATATTCAATGAGTCTGACCATCTGAGGGTTAAAGGAGAGGATAAGGGATGGTGGGGAATGAGGCGTTAGTACAGCTTGGTAGCCCTACAGGAAAATAGTGTAAGAAAGGAAGTTTTGACACTTGAGAAGAAAGGAAATACAATGAGCTTGTCCCTGTCCTATCCCAACCAGTGGCAACCAGTGACAAATAGTCTGCTTAAATCTATGCCATATACAGTTCACATTTGGAGATCTGCATGGAGGAAGCCATAGAAAATAGTGGGATGAAAGAAAACCCAAGAAACAAGAGCACAGATAAGCAAATGTAATAAATCTCAAGAAATAATCTTTTAATTTTCTTGCATCATCTCCATTCTATGCTGTTTCGAGATTTCCTGACATCTTCTCAAGTCTCTTCTTTGTCAGCAGTGTTTGATCTGACAAGCACGTCCATGTGCTTTCACCTGGGAACTGAACAGGAAGTCAGCCATCTAATCATTGCTGACAGCTAAAAATAGCTGTGCTACTAGAATGCCCTCAGATGAATACTTCTTACTAAAAAGATTGAGTTACTAAGATAACCTACTAATTTCTTATAAAGAGTAGTAACATGTAGGGTTTTTGGTAGCTCTAACAAGAAATGTGATGTTGAGTTCATTTCAACTACATTAAAATACCTTACCCCACTTAATCTTTTTGGTGCTATTTAAGATCTTATCTAAGCAGCAAACACTTGGGAAACTGTCGGACTTCTCATCCAACTCTGTCCAGGGTGAACAGATCCCCCAAACTAGGTGCCCGCAGATGTATAAGAAAAGTAAGAAAAAAATCAAACCAAGAGAGCCAAAATCCTGTGATCAGGTGCTAGCAGCCTCTAGGACTGACTGCCTCCTGATTACCATCTTCAGTAACCTTTTATTCAGAATCCCCCAAGGAGGCAGCAGAGGAATCAGAGAATATCAACTGTTTTAGAAAGGACAGTACAACTCAATTATAGGAATGGGACCTGACCAGTAAGCCATCATGTTATCTTCCTTCACCCATATCTCAGCAAAGCATCTAGTATTGATCGGGCGCTTACAATGCTTATGCTAGACTTCCTCCAGAACCCAACAATCATGGCTTGGTCAGGCCTCAGGCAATACACAAAATAGTAACTAAAGAATGTCCTTCTTCACAGGAAACCACCAGTAGGGGCTTTAATATCTAATATGTTAGAGAAATAAATTCATTTCCAAGAGAGGAGGTCAAATTGACCTTATCACTCTTAACTGAATTGGACTCTTAGTATCAATTCAGCCCCATCTAAATATTTAAAGTCTTTCTGTGACTACATCAGATCAGAATGTCAGTGTGGTGATGGGTGACAATGGTGACAGTGGAATTCCCTGAGAGTTCTGTCCACTTGGCTCTTCTGGAGCGCAGTGGAGTCCTGGGCTGGAGAATGGGCTAGAGCTTCCACCCCCGCGAAAGAGGTTCCTTCGGAAATGGCTACGGCCAGTCGTCGAGAACGTAAGTCTCACCCAGACTTCTTACCTAAGCTGAACTATATTACTGATTCTTTATAAATAATTCATTTTTGACTTTTTTCCTCTTTTGAATGACCTTGCCCTAGAATCCAAAGGTTGCATTTTTTCTGTCTTCTCACCACAGCTGAAGTCTATTGCTGTTGTTTTTATACATATAATGGCTATTTCTCTGTACTTACGCATCCATTTTTAAAAGGATCATTTCCTGTAAACTCTTTTTATAACATGCTTTTCTTTTTCACCTGACAAAAAATGAAAACTTTTACTTGTTCTTTTTATCTCTAGCACTTCTTACTAATGTAGTCTATTATGCAGTCATAGTAAGGTAAATTCATAAAAAGTCAGCCAGATTAAGTAGGGCATTGCTGTCCACCATAAAATACTACTCACGCAGCTGTACACTCAGACTTCTATGCCAGGCTTGCTTGCAATCAGAAGAAAATTTGTGTTTCAAGAAGCTGTGTCCCTGATAATAGTTATTGGCTCAAACTAAAGGTCATATCCTTCGGGAAGTGGTCCATTCTGCCAGAAGTGGTCAAGTCTTTGATGATGGTTCTTTTCCAAGTCAGGCTCTCTGATCTTGTAACTCCTAAATAAATAAACAATGGTCATACCATGTTTTTGAAGAGAAAGTTTAAAGAATTGCAACTTTACACAGATAAAAGCTTTTTACTTTTTTTTTTTTTACAGTCAACCATGTGATCCTTTTTTTCACAGATACACCAAAGGAAGTTTATATTCAGAAATTAGTACTGAACAGTTTGTACTTTACAGATGTCAGCAGAGCATATTATCACCACAGATTTTGTTCACATCTTGTTTGTGGGATCCATTCATATTTCCTTCTCATTCTTCTCACACTGATGATCTCTGGGCCTCCTGTGAGATGGCCAACCTGGATCTTTTTGACTACTTAAAACTATTCTCATTTCAGGAGTTCAGACTTTAGAGGTGGATCACAACCTCCTCACCTGCGCCACTCCCTCAAGCCAAGCGGCAGTTCCTCCCTCCCTTCTCAGGCCTGTCCTTTCCAAGCCTCTAGTGCCCGTCCCCATCGGGCTCAGCACCACCACCCGCACCTCCCCGAGCATGCACAGGAGCAGTGCGAACTCTCTCATTCTCCTCACCTGCTATGGTGCCCATCTTTTCCATTCTGCCTCCTGTATAACATAGCGCTCTGTGGAAGTCATGA